ATCTATATGATCGGATACGCATGGCGTATCGGGACGATGAGGCTGTCGCGCCTATCGTCAAGTTCCTTAAGGCCGGAACGAGCGCGAAGTCCGACTGGCTCTCGTCGCGACAGCGCTCACGGCTCCACCGATATGAGTTGAAGGAGGGCCTCCTCTATTATCGGGTGGAGCCCACTGATCCTCCACGGGTGGTCGTACCCAACGACGAGGATCTGAAGTTCGACATCCTCGCGGAGGCGCATGAAGCGCCCTCCAGCGGCCACTTGGGCCGCGAGAAGACCTTTCTGTCGGTCTCTCAGTCCTTCTGGTGGACCCACATGTACAAGTGGGTCGCCCGATACGTCAAGACATGCGAACCATGTCAGCGGGTCAAACCCGCAGGGCACTCTTCGGCTCCACTACAGAGCCTGCCCGTACCGGCTGATTGCTGGAAGTCGATGAGTCTTGACTTCATCTTTGGGCTTCCCGCCGACGGACACGGCAACACCGGAATTTTGGTGTTCGTGTGTCGGCTGAGCAAGATGGTACATCTTGCCCGTCACTGTAACGGGCGAACAAACCGCAAGGTTGTTCGTCGATGGCGTGTTCCGCTATCACGGTCTCCCGGAGACGATTGTCTCGGACCGAGACCCGCGGTTCACTGCTGCGTTTTGGAAAACGCTGTTCCCTTTACTGGGAACTCGTCTGCAGATGTCCACTGCGGATCATCCGCAGACAGACGGCCAAACAGAGCGCGTCAATCGAGTGCTCGAGGACACTCTGCGCAGTGTGTGCGCGGCAGCGCCACGTACGTGGTCGTCGCAGCTTCCAGTTGTTGAGTTTGCGCTCAACAACGCGGTGCACGCGTCCACGGGGTTCACGCCGTTCTACTTGAACGGCTTCCGCCACCCCAGAGTGCCTCTCACTTTTCGAGGAGACACTGACTCCTCTATTCTAAGTGGGGGAGAGGCTCGGAAAGCCCTTTCCTCCCAGGTCTCGAATGTGAGACCAGTTTCGCTGCGGAAACAGGTGGAATCCTTTATGGATACCAAGCTGAACATTGTCAGCAGGGTCCGCGATGCCATGGCAGCGGCCCAAGATAAACAAAAGGAGTACTCGGACAAACAAGGAAGAGGAAACTTAAGTATATTTGAGATTGGTGACTTAGTGTTACTAGACACGAGGAGCCTACCTCTAGACACTATTAGCTCTGTCGGCAGCAACAAGCTGAAGCACCGCTTCATCGGACCTTTTGCAGTCCTGGCCAGACATGGTGCGTCGTACACCATCGACCTTCCAAAGTCAATGACGACGCACCCGACGTTCTATGTCGGACGTCTTAAGCGGTACTTTGACCCGCAGACCCCCCTTGACCCAGCTCCTCGAAGCGAGGGCCGGTCACAGTCGTCGACGAGGGCGTCGGAGCAGGCACCCAAGCCTCGGTCGGGACGGCAAGGCTGCGGTCAAGACCGTACGCCGGAGGGGCTCCATACGAACGGACCCCGGCGCCATACGCCGAGTACGCTGAGTACGCCGGGTACGCACCATACGCGTACGTCTGGGAGTGTGCCGCAGGCGGATCCGGACGTGGCAACAAAGCCTCGATCCGTCGGATCATGCGAAAGGCCTCGTCCAGATCGGACGAAGAGGCCCGGCGATCCACCCGCAGGTGCAGGCTCGCGACCTCTCGCTCCACCAGGTTCAGGCGGCCCGCAAGACGAGCGAGCTCGCCCTGATTCCCGGCCTGGGCGGCAGCATTACCGCCAGTTCCAAGGGCAAGTGCAATCTCAAGCACGAGGACACGTTGACGGAGGCGGTCAACCTCAGGGTCCTGTGTCGGACCCGCCGTCGGAGCACTCGGACGAGAGTGGCTCTCGGGAGGCGCCGAGTACTCGTACTCGTACGAGGGCACCTCCGCCCCTGCTTGACCGGAATGGAGAAGCCCACTTCCACGTGGAGCGGATCCTCCAGGAGCAACGGTGTCGCGGCAAGCGACAGCTCCTCGTGAAGTGGAGGGGTTATGCCCACTCCGAGAATTCGTGGGAGCCGATTGAACGGCTCCTGATTGACTGCCCGAAGGCTGTCGCAATCTGGGAACAGAAGCGGCGGCAGCTTCATAAGTAGTCCGGGGCTTCTTGCCCGAACGGGTACGGTCGATGAATACATACCGTACCCGCGCTCACCGTGAGCGCTAGAAGCCGCGGGCTTCAGGATGTCCCTTGGCAGCATACGCTTGCTGATCAAGTGGGCAAACCTCACACGAAGATCACGCTGGTCCAGGATGTGGGGCAGCTGCTGATCTTCATGGAGTTCCCATAACTCCGTGGGCGAGTACTTGAGAGTCTCCACCCACGCCCAGAACATGTCCTCACAAGAACTCCACGTGGGACAGTTCTCGGGCATAACCCAGGGGTATCCCCAAACAGGATAGAGACCACCCCGGGTCTCGGGCTTCTTACGACAAGTCGTGAAGTCCTTAAGGGGAATGCGGTGTTGCGCGAGAAGCACACACCGAGCAGCCTCCAAGTTGTCGACGAACAACTGTTCTTTCTGAACAAGGGCTCGTTCATAGATGCCCCTAGAAGTGTGGCCGCCCACAAGGCCACGAGGAGCGACGAGAAGCTCTAAGAAGAGGTCAGCCCCAGAGCTCTCCTCGGGAGGCCAATACCCTCTTGAGTTGATGGCAGCTCCCTGGCTGACGGGTGCCGCCACCGAACCCCCACGCACACGCTGGGCAGCTTGGAATTCCTCCTGCTGCTGGGCGAGGTCATTCGAGACCTCCCGAAGCTCAACGATAGCACCCTTCTCCTCCTCTTCTTCCTCCTTCTCCTCCTCTTCATCCAAGGAGCCGAAGAGACTCTGATAGGAGCGTCGAGTCTCCTTCTCCTCGCGGAGTGGAGACTTAGAGGCGGTACGCTTCTTCGAGGGCTTGGCGCCTTCGGCTTTAGAGGCCTTAGCGCGCGCAAGACCCTCGGCAAGCGAGAGACGTTTGCGAGGATTCTCTTCCTCATCGCCACCGGCTTTGGGAGCGCCCTTAGCCTTAACGGCCGGACTCTCAGAGCGCACAGAGGTCCTGGGACTGTGATCACCGTGATCACTAGCGGGCGACTGCACGCTGCCTTCTTTGTGCTCACTGGGCACTGGGCTGTGCCCTCCCACAGAGCCCGCATGAGCATCCTGAGTGCTCTCGGACTCGGCATCGTCTTCACTGCCCGAGTTGAACTCGCGTTCTACGAACCGAGGGTTCGGACGGTTGTCTGAAGACGAGGGCGACGGACTGCGGCGCCTGCTTGCGCGTTTGTCCGCAGCCGCGTCACCCGAGGAACCGATCGCCTCGGAGGCCACCTGAGTAGCCTCCTTGAGTGCAGAGCCTTTGCCGTGAGGCTTAGTGCTCTTGGCCTGCGCCTTACCGGCTGCAGCCTTGGAGCGTGTCTTAGCACCGCTCTTAGCAGTGCCGCGAGGCATGTTAACGGTCGAAGTGGAGACCTTGACGAAGAGCGCACAGGTTGCTGCTCGAGGCTCTAACTGTGAAGTGAGCCTCCGCCGCGCTCGCGCGGCCAAGTCGATGGTTTTCGACTTTGAGAATGAGAGTTTGTGACGAACACCTCTTCATTCTGATTGGTCGGTAAACCGAACCTAAGTGGGGGAGGATGTAACGGGGTACGTAGCCCTAAGTGTACCCTGGTTACATGAAGTGTGACACTTCACACTTCAGGAGTATGACACGTCATACTCCGAGATATTTGGTACAAGGTACCAAGGTCGCTCAAAGCCAACCATTGGTTAAATGACATTGCATTTCTACAGGTAACTAACAGATAGTATTAATCCCAAACTTAACCTACCTATAAATATACTCAGTTTACAATCTACCTTATTTAGGTCACTTCGCTCTCTTTAATAAAAGAGGGGACCTGTGAACTGCCGTTCACTGAGAGTTTGTATACTCTCGGAAGATAACTTCCTCTTGCGCAAGGTGCTGTGTGACCCCGTCACACGGCATGTCCCTCTCCTAAGCGATTTAATGCATGCATCACTTTTTTGAGAATAGAGTAGCCTTCTCCACTGGTTGCTTCAGTAGTGTAGCTGACGACTTGAAAATACAACACATGGTGGCTTAGCCGGAAGTGGTTGGGAGACAGAACTCGTTAACGGCCCATTCAGCGATTGCCTTGTAGGACATAGTACGAGAGAGTGACCACCTTCCCGCCTCGTAGAATTGGGGGGCATGGCGGCATTGGCAGCTTAGTAACGGCGGGATGTGAAGGTCCGTTAAGCTACATGCATAGTATGCATGTATTACATACATGGGCAAGGCGCCAAAAGCGCGCCAATTTCAAATGTTGAAATAAAATGGATTTTTTGCCTGTACCTCCGGTGGATTCAATCTTAGCTCAATACCTTTGCACATCTCCTTCTTGTCGGGTGGTATTATTCTTTGTGGTAATTTATGCGTTCATGACCCGTTCACTTTTCACGCAGAATACGGTACTATAGAGCACAGAGTCAGACAAATCTTGCCTATTTTCCTCCAAACATAAAGATTAGACAAAATTGTCATACTCATCAAATAAAGTCCGTTGGCTCTCTTACGCTATCTTAAAACACAAATCTTGCCTATTTTCCTCCAAACATAATGATTAGACAAAATTGTCATACTCATCAAATAAAGTCCGTTGGCTTTCTTACGCAGATACCATAATAATGGTACATGTCCGAAAGGATCGGAGGTCCGATAAATTTTGGAATGGTTGGACCAGAAAATTCTCGCAATGGCCAGAACAAGATGCGGTTAATCACAATATTATCAATACCGATAGCGTACATACACACTTTGTAGTATAATGCTTCGAATTACAAATTGTACGTGAAAGGTAGCGTAGCGCAATCACCGCAACTAATCCGCTCTAGCTACAACCGATCGGATAGGTTCATCCCATGAAAATATCACAGCTCATTTCTCAGTTGTCTTTCACACGCTCAAGGTTGAACGAGATAACCGTAAAAGTCAACTTTCAAGAATGCGTATCATCCTCTATGTGGTGCTTCTCCTTGCTGCCCACGGTACAATCGCGACTGCGGATAACCCCGTCGAGATTCAAGACCTGGAAGTTTCCACTCACCGCAAACACGAAAGCCAAGACTATCGCTACCTCAGAGGGAACAATGAAGCGACCAAAACTGATGGTGTAGAAGAAGAGAGGACTATCTCAACTCCGCAGTTCGACAAGCTATCAGCTTTGCTCAGTCCCCCGAAGTTTTCGAATCTTCCCTTGATCAAGCAGGTCAACAAGGTCCGAATAAGCTTGGCAAAGAAACTAGGAAGTCTGTATTTAAAGAAAGTGAGGAAAGCTTACGAACGAAACCCCAACAACTTCGTTTAGGGGAAAAATGATGAAGCAAGATCGAACCACATTCGCACAATGAACTTTGCCAACTGCTTTGCACAATCATTAACATTTAAAAGGTGTTTCCTGCTACTACTGTACTACGTAGTAGAATTTGTTTATACGCACATAAATAAATAAGCATTTTCACTTCGGGTCAGCGTGAAATATCCAGATTTACCATAAAGCTTCACTCAAAAAATGTAATTTAAGCAAAAATAAAATGGAAATTATCGATACGAATCAATAAAAGTATCTTTATTTTTTTCAAAAAGGTTTTTCTTGCAACAAGTCCTGCAATCAATTGCAAGAGTTCATTGTGGATAAAACACTGAAGGAAATGTTAAAACACTTTCTTCTTCAAGTACATGCTTTAACGGAATATATTTACAGTGTAGACACGAGTTTGTTATTCGCGTTAATTAGAAAAAAACATAGCTGAAATAAATGTTTATAAATAATTATGAGCAACTACAGTACTAGCGCCCAATAAAGTCGGTCGTCCATGGTGCCTGCTTAGAGAGAGAAGCCGCCATTTTGTGCTGAATTACTCGCAGTTCATCGGCAACTTCCGACGCTGCTGGTCGTTTGTGTGGGTTCCCAGCGAGACAGCGTTTCACTAATTTTTTCAGTTGAACCTCACACGTACTCCGAAGCTTTGAATACAGTGCTCCACTTGCGACTCGACGCATAATTGTCGTATCTGATAGGGCCCTACCGTTGGGGCCACGAATGTTGCTGTACGGTATTCTGTTCGTGTCCAGCTCCGTCAACAAGACACCAAAGCTGTAAATATCAGCAGAGCGACCATAGTCGGTATCTCCACGAATAACTTCGGGCGCTAACCATCGACTTGTGCCAACTCCACCTGACATTGAATTGCTGTCTGACCGAAAGCGGGACTTGCCGAAATCACTCAGTTTTGCCTTGAGCCTTGAAGACAGAAGTACGTTTTTCGACTTGACATCGCGATGGAGTAATGGCGGCACGAATGAGTGCAAATACACCAGCGCCTCGATGATACTAATAGCGATGTCAAACTTGTGGTGTGTCCATCCTGTAGGCGTTGTTGGACTGGATAAATACCGACGTAGATCACCGCCATCCATATACTCGAGAACCATCTGTAGATCACTCTCCACTGTCCACGCGGCACCGACAAACTTCACAATATTTGGGTGATCAAAGTTAGCCACAAGTTTGATCTCCTCGACGAAAGCTGCCACATTTTTCTTTGTGTTTCTGTCCGATCGTAGACGCTTCGATGCAAGAAGTTGAAGATTTCGGTAGCGAACAAGCCAAACAGTAGCAAACCCCCCACGTCCCAGTTGCTGGATGTCCATGATAGATCTGTCACAGAGCTGTAGCGAGAGGAGCTCATAGTCATCCCAGAGTGTCCACTCGTCTAGTTTTGTATCGTGCGTTGTTCTTACAACCGACGCATACTTAAAAGTACTGAGGCTGGAAGCTTCAAGCACTGGCGTGTCGATACTAGCGTCATCACCTCCTGATGATGTGGGTATACCTATCGAGAAATTACTGGACTGTCTTCCGAAGCCCTTGGCACTCCTGTTGGATCCATAGCGACCCGAACGCAGCATCTTTTTCTGCCGAGTATCAGTCACTCTTGAAGCTGAATGTTCGTCAGTGTACTCAGCAGCCTCGAGATTTCGTGATCTCCTCTTTCGTGTGACTGTAAACAGGAAGATCCCGACCATCGCAACAGTGGAGACTCCGTAAACGATACCTAAAACCATGCGTGTCACTGTGGACGACGTGTCCGCAGTCTTGGAGTCTAAATCATCCACATGAGTTGCATCAGAATGAATGGATCCCACCGATGCTTCATCTTTAAGACAAACTGTCACTCCATGTAGAACACTCTGCTCGGTATCGTCACACCCCACTGCAACTTGAAAATCCGACTCGGAGAGTCCCAGCGTGTCAAGATTTCGCAAGAACTGGACTTGGTGAGGAGTAGAGTATCGGGTCGAGAATCAGTTCCCCACTAGTTTCTTAATAGTACCAGAAAAGCGAAATTCATTTAGTAAATCTTATAAAGTAAGGCAAGCATCATTAACGTACAGAGACTTCAGCTTCGAATGTCTGTAGATGGCAGTAGGAATGCTTGTCAAGTTGTTCTTGCCGAGATAACTGCAGTATAAAATAAAAAATCGTTAGCAAATGCTGTAGAATACTGACAATCCCAGTACAACGTATCCGCCAGGAAAAACTCCTTTAAATGTGTCGATGTTGTTATTCTCCAGACTCCTGCACCAAATAAAAGATATGTTTATTATTATAAATAAGAAAATATAAAATAATATCGTACGTACAGAGTGGTGATGGTGTAACGGGCTTTCAGCAACCCGTTACCTTACGTACACTGTGCGTGAGGAAGCAGGCAAATTAGACTCTGAGATGAATTGAAAGTTAACGGCGTGGTCTCGGACCACGCCAACCAGTAGATGTGTTCTACAAGCTGATTGGCCATCGCATTGGATGCGATGGCGATGTGTGACGATGGGCCCGTCACACCATCCCCCACTTCAGAGAGAAAGCACGCAGCATTTTCCTTTTTGTACGGCGCGACGAACTGGGTATCGATGAGCGAGCGAGACGACGACTCGACCACGTACGCGGAGGCGCTGGAGAGGTGGGCGCTGCACGACTGCAGCGCCTTCGTGAACGCCCGCAGTGATGACGAGATGAAACGGCTGTTTGAGAGGTTCCGCGCGACAAGAGGCAAACCCGTCACGGCGACAGCCACCGTGACACTCCAGTCCCTGGATCGAGCGTGAACTTCGTTCATGCTCCGCTGGAATAAGGAAGGAGGCGAGGCGTTCGAGCGCATGCTGCTCGAGCGCGAGGCGGCGCACTCGCGGCTGTCCGTCAGCGCGCTGGCCGCTCAAGTTTGCAGGTTGGCCAGTGACCAAGGCCGCCGGTGCTGTACCGCACACCGAGAAGATGGGTGTCAGCGTTGTCGCGAGCGTGGTGTCTCGCGACCCGACGACGCAGAATGGGGTCGTGTTCTTGAAGCTGCTGCAATTACCGAAGTGGAGCGTGGTGTGATAGGAGGTTACTTGAGGGCCCTCGACGAGGCTAGGCGCGGCGGACGGCCGCGCCCGCGTGACGATCGGCCGCCGGTACGAGACCAGCCTCGTACTCCGCCACGCAGTCCAGTACGTCGGCGAGAAGGATGGCGCGAGGCTCCCAACTATCCTTCATGGGGCCGAGTCACCGAACGAGGTAGCGCCGGAGCGGAGGGATGGCAGCGTCATGGCGATCAGCGCCGTGACTCGTATGAGCAAGGTTGGGCGCAGCACGAGGGTCCTCGTGTTCCAAGATACGGTCAACGATATGACGAAGATTACCCGCGCTATCGACAAGAGGAGCGGGACCGTCACGCTGAAAGGGTGGACCGCGGACGGCGGGAAGCCGCTGCGACCGCGCAGCGTCTGGATCGGTTGCTTCAGCGTGTGGAGTATCTGGAGCGGGAGAATCAAGAGCTGCGCTAACGCGTGCGACGTCAGGACGAGCCTCGGGATGATCGCCGAAGTCCGGACGCGGGGAACCATCCGCGTCGCTGGGGATAGACGAAGGGTGATAGCGGCGGAGGCGACCAACGTAGAAGGTAGGGTGGAGGCGTAGTGCTGTAGGTAGTCGAAGTGTATACGCGTCACGTAATACCTTCAATTTCTTGAACGGTCCGATATATCGCGGCGCCAGCTTGTTGGCGCCCAAGTTCGTCACAGAAGTGGGTGTAATGCCGTCGGTGGATAGCAAAACACGATCGCCTACTGCAAACGTCGCGAGATTCTTGCGACCACGCCTGTCTGCGTTGTCCTTCTGGCGATCCACCGCCATAGCGATGGCGTCGCGCACATAGCGGATTACCGACTCGCGTCGTTGGACGAATGCAAGAGCGGCCGCGGCATCACGCTGGGCGCCGTCAACGTGAAGACTAAGAATAATCAGTCTCGAGTCGCTGCCGGAAGTGGTGGCGAAAAGTCGTGCGTGAAGCACTGGAGGGCTAGGAGGCGGCTCTGCCACCAGAGATGCATATCTCCTTCCATTCCCAGTAGGGCGCCCCGCACCTACTGGTTGTCGCCGTTTTTTGGAACGGCGACCTCGGACTCCACCGTGACGTGTGCCAGGACAGGTGCCGGCGCGCGGCACACCGCCGCGCGATGTCCGGGCTTGCGACAGCGGAAGCATTTCATCGGACGTTAGCTGCGCGTCGGGGAGCGCGGTGGACGTGTCGTCGACCGAGAACGATCGAAGTGGCGGATGGCATCAATCTCCATCGGCTCCGGTTCTGGTTCGGAGGCCGGAGCCCGACTGAAATCGAAAGCTTGAGATGCCGCGACGCTGTAATCTTCGCGTAGGGCCACCGCGAAAGCTTCTTCCAGCGTAGATGGGGACTTCCGCGTTAAGTAGAAGCGTTGGTAGCCGGTGTTCATGCCGGACACGAAGACATGGACTTGGGTCGCCATGTCAACCGGATGTGTCGTGATGCACGAGATGAGGTGACGTGCCCGCTGGATATATTCGAGCATGGACATCTTGCCTTGCTGCAACGACAGGAAGGCGGAACGCTGGACTCTCTCGTCTTGGGGCGGCTCGAACGCGAGTCGCAGGTCAGATTTCATTGCAGCCATCGTGGGAAAGCATGAGGGGTTGACAACGAGCTTGCCGAGGGCCCACTCCTTTGCCTTCCCCGTCAGTTTGGAAAGAAGGAAGCGAGTCCGCGCGAGCTCGGTGGAAAGCTGCCGGGCTTCAACTGCGATGTCCACTTCGCAGAACCATCTGTTCAAGTGGAGGCGACCGTCGCCTTCACCACTATAAGAGGAGACATCGAGCTTGACGATGTCAGTCCTGTTCTTGGACAGCGTGGGAGTCGACACGCGCTGACGGAGGTCAGCGAGTTCACGCGCCATACATTCTTGGGCGGCAAGGCGATGTTGAGCTTCGGTTCCAGCAGTGAGCAACGTGTGGATGACAGCCTCGCCGGACGCAGCAGCGAGGCGGTGCAACGCCTCCCATTCGATCGAAGAGAGGTGGGGGAAGCTGTCGTGCTCCAGCGACGTGTTGGGCAACTTGGGCGCGTCGGGCATCGGCATGTCGTTCATCGTGAGCGTTGGACGGATGACAAAGTGCTACCAGGTGTAACGGGCTTTCAGCAACCCGTTACCTTACGTACACTGTGCGTGAGGAAGCAGGCAAATTAGACTCTGAGATGAATTGAAAGTTAACGGCGTGGTCTCGGACCACGCCTACCAGTAGATGTGTTCTACAAGCTGATTGGCCATCGCATTGGATGCGATGGCGATGTTTGACGATGGGCCCGTCACAGATGGCATCGATCGCTTCATTCGCGTGTATAGTAGTTAAAAATTGTTATCCAGTAACCTGATCGACAGCAACAAAAAGAAGAAATGAGCCAAACAAAAAGCGCCCAATTTGAATCAAGTCGTCACCTACAGGCGCTGGAGTGAAGCCATACTGCCTAATTCCGTCGGGAATGTGTTTAGAAGCGTATTGCCGAGGTCAAGCGTCTGTACAGAGGATGGGAGGTAATCTGGAAGCAGGTCAATTTGCGTCGCCAGATTTAGATTCTAAAGTGCCACCTTGGTCACCTCCGTCTGGAGATAAATGAAGTTTGAGGTCAATGATATTCTGGAGACCTTGCCTTTCGGGTACCGCGATACAGCGCTTCCACCCGACAAAATACATGTACTAGGCAAATGATAAACCAATTCGCCTGTCAGCATCAATACGGACAGTGGAATCTACGAACAAACATACAATGTAGTCACTTGCGAAGATAAATCGATCGATCCGAGTGTATCCACTTGGTTGTTCGATACTGAAGGCCAGTTAGCCGAACCAGGGTATTGGGTCAAGTCCGTGTCGCTGTAGCTCCCTGCTACCACTTGATGTTCGCTCTGATAGTCACCAAACTCCACCAGTACAGCTAAAGTGGTCGAATTAGCGTCAACGCTCAAGCAGTCGAACGTGCAATTTCCATCCGCCTTGCAGTGGGGACCCAAGCAGTCGCTGGCCAAGCTGAAGCCTCGACACAGAGCGTAGGCCTCGCAAGCCGAGC